CCTTAGTCATCTCTTTTCCAAGCTGAGAAGTCCCAGTCTTTTTAGTCTCTTCTCATACGGAACCTGTTCCATACCCCTCATCATTTTTCTTGCCCTTCTCTGTACCTTTTCCAATGCTACTATATCTTTTTAGAGCTGGCATGACCAGAACTGTAGACAATATTCAGTGCTGCACTACTGGTGTCAGTGGAGTTACTTCTGATTTACACCTATCTAAGTGGGATTAGAAAATTGCATGTCACCAAGGAGAAGGAGAAAGTTGGATCTGATGGCTTAAAATGGAAGATTTTGTCGAAAGTACTGCAATAATATACATTCTGCCAAACACTTGTGATTTAAACTGGTCCAGGCCCCAAATCTTGTTTAATACAAGACTTTTGAAGCCACAGCCTCAAAGGACATTTTGTGCCTCCTTCTTCCCGGTTCTTAAGTGGAAAGAAGTATCCAGTGAGGCATAGTAGTCAAGGTAATGCACTTTGGCCATGACAGAATGCTTCAAGTGCTCATTCAGTGGCCATGTTTCAATTTCCTTGACCTGCCTGCAATTGCTCAGACAAATGCAATTGGAGTTCTTACGATGAAGATGCCAGTAATTGCACTCAGTGAATGCCCATTAAATAAAGGAGATGATAAAAGTTCAAGGATGAATGAGACCAGATGTTTTGGACTTGACTTTTGCTAATGCTTATTAGTCTTTGAAGATGTAACTAGGAAGCTCTGCCTTCATGGAGAGATAATTCAGTGTAACTTTAGGCTACCTTGGAAACAAAAGAGAGAAGCGGGTTTCTATTTTAGCAGCATTTTTAAAACTAGTTTTTAATTGGCGACAGGCTTTGTCCTCTTAAATTAATGACCCTCGCACCATCAGTTGGAACTCATGTAACGAAGACCAGGAATCCTAATTTGATTGCCATGAAATATCGTGGCTCGAAATAAATTGACCCGAGGACAATAATAAATGCAATTTGATTTCAATAGGAGCTATTGGTAGAGACTGAATGGCTGTGGGGGCTGGTAATGGGATACATCTGCTTTTGTCGTTAAGTCACTGGTTTGATTCCAGCCATGGTTGATTGTACTGGAAATTTATGGCTCGTTGGGATCCTATGCAAAATGAATTTCTGGTCTCTGTTCCCACTGAGCTGGTATCTTTTTCTTCAAGATTTCTAGGGAATTAGTCCTCCAAGAGGACAAATACTTTTAAATTCAGAAAATAAGAATTGCCCCTCTAGAATAGACCAGTGGTTCCGCTAGTCACCTGATGGACAGTCCACATGGCAGAAGACACCACCATAACTGGGACTTATTACTCCATCTTGTTGGCAGTCTGTGCAGAGAAATCAAGGCCCCAACTCCCCTCTTTCCTCTCACTGTAGTCGATACAGGGATCTTATCCAAAACACACTGTCGTCAACTGGAGATTGATGTCAGGTCAGGAATGGGACACACTGGCAATAGGCACTGTAGGGTATTATACCCCCTTCTTAGGGGAAATAGAGCCTTTTAGTGTCCAGTCCAATCAATTCAGCACCATTCACCAGCATTAAAGATATTAACATAAGTAAACAAATCAATAAATAATCAAACCCTGAATTTTATGTGGGGAAAAATAAAAGTTCAAAATGCATTCTAGCTGGTGCATGTAGGCTGGGAAACAATGAAATCAAAGCAGAGCAGAACTTCAGACACGATTCTTGTATTCCTAGAAGAATCCTAGTCCTTTCCAATCCTAAACTAGTGCTGGGTGAACATTTGGATTCTCTTTATTCAATTCATTTAACATCTCTGGCCCTGATCTTGCAGTGAGGTATACCCAGGTTTATGCCTATCCAGAGCCCATTAATGTCAAAGAAACTCCATGCAGGTCAAGGATCATGGCCTAAGACCGCCAAGATCTTCAGCTGCCCCAGAACTCTGCTTTAAGCCAACTGCTAGCTCCCCTGAGTCCACAGACTGCCTTCTCCCCAACACACCTTGTGTACACCTGGTAAACTGGGGCAGAGGAGTGTATGTGCATAGAACCAACCACCTAAGATTCCTCCATGTCATGGGAATCCCCAGCTGGCTGTTCAAGCCATCTTTTCTGTACCTTTGCCTCACCAGGGTGGTGCTAAAGGGCAGGAGCAATGGCCCAAATCTGGTTCCCAGTGGTTGGTGAAAACACACATTTTCCTGGTAGCTAAACACATACAGTCACATTTTCAGGGTGGCCACTGATTTTGGGTGCCTCCATTACTGACTTGCCCATGTGAGATATCTTGGGCCTGATTTTCAGAGGGGTTGAGCAGCTGTAACTGCTATTAAAGAAGCAAGGTCCAGGCGTTAGGGCACTACTCTAGGATTTGGGGCAACTTGGTTCAGTCCCACAGACTTCTTGTGGGACCTTGAGTAGGTTACTCTCTGTGCCTCAGTTCCCTGTGTGTAAAACCAGGGATATAGTACTTCCCTGTTTTGAGGGGTGTTGTGAAGATAAATATGGTAAAGATTGTGAGGTGCTTAGACTCTATGGTACTTGGGGCCACATAAGTCCCAAAGGAATATTTACTTCAGATGGGGTGGTGGGTACTCAGTATCCCTGAAAATCACTCTGACCTTTTCCCATGCACAGACAGACTCAATACATGCAGAGCTACCATTCTTCAATTTTTACATAGGTGTCCAGCTTCAGACAAAACTTCACATGGGTACGGTTCCTGTGATGCATGCCAAAATGCATACCACATTCTCTTGTTTAGCTTTGACCATTGCCTGAAGAAACATCAGAATGTGGCCTCTTGTGTAAGATTTAGTGCAGCAACAGTTTAATGTCTAATACAGGCTTTGTCTGGGGAGTTATAACATTTCTTGTGGTAGTATGAATTCAGTGATCTGCTAGGTCTTTTCCATATCTACCTATTTTGTAGGATCCAAAATAAACAGATGTGTTTCACTGAACAACCAATGGGCTTAAGCAAAATTCTTCTTGTTGAACTTTAAAGTCCAGTGGCATCCTTATTTACAAATGTCTCAGATAAATTTTCCATGAATACCAGTCCTCTTTTACCAACTTTGTCATCCTCATCAGTATATACTTCTACATTATTATTAATCCAGACACCAACTTCACAAATTTAAAGCACTACTGATAGGTCTGGGAGGATAGCAAAGCAATGAAATGTCGTTGACATATTGTAGTCTTTTCTTTAATCACCAAAGGGACAGCAGACGTTATCATCCAAGGTGTATTGTCTTTGGAAATACGAAGCCCACTGATTTCACCGATATGAAAGGGAAGGTCTTAGTCACAGAAGGTACTGTACAGCTCACGTCTATTGTTTGTGTGGTTTCTGAGGAGGTATAAAAGAAGCTGGAAGACACACAGTGTTATTGCAACTGGAACTTCACTAGAGGACTTGCTGTGAGACGGAGCTGTGCTGATCTGGATTTGACCGTGTACTGTATTCTTTAGGATCAACAGTAAGTATACCATATGTTAATGTTGTACTTTTGTGTCTTAAAGATGCTTCTCATTGATGCATAGGTTATTGTAGATCACAATATAAAGATACAGCATGTCTATTACATACAATCAGACTAGTTATATCTTGCATAGTCCACAATATCATATGATAGGTGATATATGATATACTTGAAAAAAAATCAGAATTGGTAACCATTTGCCCTCCAATGCCTTTTTCCTCATCTTCCATGGAGATGAGTCTAAAAAAGTGAAATATATTTGTCAAGAGTGAAGTTTAAGTTCTACTGTCCACCTATTTGATATAGTTTCTGCAGGTGTAAGAAAAATGGAACATCCTTCTATCCAGGTACTGCCAGTTTATTACCCCAAATCAGTACAAAGCAAATCCATTTTTGGATGCTGTTGAAGCTGGGCTTGAAATGCAATATCCCCAAATGCTTCTCTACTTGCTTTTGTTTCCAAACAAAATCTTTTGCATCTAAAAAAAATCTATATAAATCTAATTTATAGAGAAAAAATTGTAATCTTTCTTATGCATACATTTTTGTACTCCTTTTTTCATTTGTTTTGTTTGTCTTAATATACGCCAGGTTTCCTTTATAACAGTTAATCTGGAGACCTGTTAGTAAAGTGATAGGATTAATCCAGTGTTTAAAGCCATGCACTATAGTTAAAGTAGACAACCCAGATTCTGTGGTGATACAATAGATAGATAGATAGATAGATAGATAGATAGATAGATAGATAGATGTGGTGTATGGGGATAGATAGATA